TTCAGTCCATTTTGCTCTGGTTATTTCTTGGAGATGGGGGGAGGGAGTGGTCTCAAGAACTATTTACCCAGGCTGGCCTTGAACTGTGATCCTCCTAATCTCAGCCTCCCAAGTAGCTAGGATTACAGGAATGAACCACCAGCATCCGAATCTAGAGCAATTTTAAGCTCTGGAAATACAGCCATGAGCAAACCAAAAAAAAACCTTCCGCTCGTGGAGCTTAGAGTGAAAAACACAAAAGTAAAGAATCTAGAATGACAGGTAGTGCTGTGGAGAGATATTACACAGGAAGGATGCATGGAAAGTGCCAGGCTACAGGGTAGCAACTCAGTGCAGACACAAGGGAGCAGGTGGCAGACCACTTGCCCAGCGTGTGCAGGGCCCTGGGTTTGATCCCCAGCATGGAAAAAAAAAAAAGACATGAAGTAAGTCAGAGAGCAGGTGGTGGTGGGGTGGCCATGTAACTCATCATTGAATCCAGGACACCTTTGAGAGTGAAAGGGGACACTGTTAATAGTCATATGGGTCTATGTTCAAACCAGGACTGTTCTGGGTAAATGTGAACCTGTGGATCTTAGCCCTGAGGCCCTCTGGAGTAAAAGCACAGCAGAGGGAAGAGCAAGAGAAAGGACTGTGCCTGATCTATTGGGGAACCACTGGAGAGACACGAGAGGGGAAAGCAGAAGATGAGATCTGAGATGAGCCTGGGAAAATTTGACTTCAGGGGTTCTGTCAGTAATGCCTTGGCTTTTAATCCAAGTGAGTTGGGAGCCATTGGAGTGTTTTGTGTGAAACACAAGTTTCATGACCTGCCTTTTTTCTTTTTTTTTTTTAAGTCTGGGTCTCACTATGTAACCCAAGCTGACTTCAAACTCACAATTCTCCTGCCTCAGCCTGGAGAGTGCAGGAATTACAAGCATGCAACACCATACCCAGTTTCTAACTTGACTTCTACTCTAGACTGTTCATTTCTTAGCCATCTGGTTAAGATTAGGTGTAGAATAGTCACTCTGAATTTCTGATGCTGAAAATAAACAGTGCACCGCAGGTATGTGGCTCCACCCCGCCCGGAATCCTAGCTACGTGGGAGGCAGAGATTGGGAGGCTAGTCCTGGAAAAAAGTTCATGAGACCTCATCTCAATCAGTAAAAGCTTGGCATGGTGGTCAGTTTCTGCCATCCCAGCTATGCAGGAAGCACAAATAGGAGGACCATGGTCCAGGCTGGTCTAGGCATAAATGTGAGACCCTATTGAAAAATACCTAAAGCAAAAAGGGCTGGGGGTGTAGCTCAAGTGGTAGAGCCCCTGCCTGGCAAGTGTGCAAACTCTAGTACAACAACAGAAAACTGTGAAAAGGCAAAAGAGGAAGCTGAGGCTAGTTAGCATGTTATCACATCCAAGCAAAGGATGGTGTACCTTGGACCAGGCAAGGACTGATGAAGGTAAGATGCTGGATATACTGTAAGACAGATTTGACATTGGTTTTTGTTTTGTTTTGTTTTGTGGTGCTGGGGTTTAAACTCAGAACCTCATGCTTGCTAGGCAGGCACTCTATCACTTGAGCCACACCTCCAGCCCTAAAGACAAACTTTCAGTCTAGTGGGGAGACAGACATGAAAACACAGAGGGATAATGATGTGCTAAATTGTATAGTTGGATTATGCATATGGAGTTGTGTAGCAGCAGGCCTAACATCTCCTGGCAGGGCATGAGGGAGACAGGGCAAGGATGAGGTTCTGTTGGAAATGAACTGTGAAGACCACGTGGATGACTGCCAGGCAGAGTCAGCGTTAAAGACAAGGAGGTATGATATGCTATACAGAGGAACTAGACTGTGTAAAGGAACACGAAGTCATAATTACTTTAAGAGGCCACAGCAATGGCTGGAGTACAATAAATCCTCATATGTTGATGACAGTAACTCCTATTGGTTGAGTACTCCTCATGTATACCTAGTACTGTTCTAACTATTTACATGGGCTGTCACCTTTATATTCACAAGTATCCTTCTCATAATGAAGAAACTGAGCTACACAAGGTTAGGGTCAGGTAACTGGCCCAAGGTCCTTGATGCTAATTAGGGGCCCAATTGGGCCTCATGTCCAAAGATTCTAGAGCCTGCACTTTTTCAACATGCAATACTACCTTGAAGCAGAGGCAGCTGAAGATGCAAAGGTAGGCAGGAGCCAGGTGGTGGGTGGCATTCCATGTCATGAAGAACCACTGAAACGTGTCTATGTGGAAAAGAGAACCTGAACAGATTTGCATTTGGAACTACCTCATGGATGAAAGTATGGAAGATGAATCAGAGGGGAGAAGAACGTGGCAGGAAGATCTTTTAGAAGGCTACTGCAACAATCCTGATCAGAAGCCAGGTGTGGTGGTGCACGCCTGTAATCCTGGCACTCAGGAGACTGAGGCAAGAGGATTATGCATTAGAGACCCATTTGGTCTACATAGTGATCTTGAGGCCAGCTGAAGCAATGTAGTAAAACCCTGTCTGAAAAAAAAAATCATGGCCAAAGATGACAGAAGCCTGAACCAAAGCAGTGAGAGTAGAGATGAACGAACAGAGGATGAAGGATGGGTTAAGGACCAAAGAGACACAAGTGCACTTGACAGCACATTAAGGATGAGGCCTCTGGGAGTCATTTAACCAGGGAGGTTCCATCAGCAAGCAGATTTACAGCTCAGGAGCCCAAGAAGGAGAGGCTAAGCCAGAGACCCAGGTTGCAGCAAATGCTTTCCCAACATTTGTGTGTGTGCGCACATACAAGCTAAGAAACCCTAAATGAAATGTCATCTGATGATGTCATTTGGGGATCCCAAAATAAGGGCTTTTTGAAAGCTTACTCTTCTTTTTTTTTTTTTTTTTTTAGGCGGTACTAGGGTTTGAACTCAGGGCCTCACACTTGCTAGGCAGGTGCTCTCCCACTTGAGCCACTCTGCTAGCCCTTTTCTGCATTGGGTATTTTCAAGATAGGGTCTCATGAACTATTTGCCCTGGCTGGCTTTGAACTGCAATTCTTCTATCTCTGCCTCCCGAGTAGCTAGGATTATAAGCAGGAGCTACCAGTACCTGGTGAAAGATCACTTTTCCCCACAAAAGACACATCTGGGTAAGCACTGGGCTACTCCCAGCTCCTAGACTACTCTGGGTAGATCCTGGTTCTGCCACCCTCTGAATCTGCAACTTGTCCTCCCTGCTTCAGGTCGCCAGTAAAACTAGCTCAAGGTGCATTCCAGGGAGCCCCACAGCAGCCCTAACAGAGCCACCCTCCCCTCAAAAGCCTGGGAAGCTCAAACTCTAGCTTCCTAAAAAGTGACTCTTTGGTTTAGCAAACCAAGAAACCTTGCTTTTGTGACATTCTAAATGTACTTTAGAAAATCTGGAAGTCAGGCAGCAGTTCC